TCATTGTATGACTATTCAGAAGATTGTTTACCCATTCATTTGTTCATAGGTATTGAACTACTTCCTGTCTAAAACTATTACAAAAAAGCTATAGGAACATATTCATACAAATATCTAGGTAAACATATTATTAACTTTTCTTGATAAATGCTAGGAGTTGAACTACTGGGGGATATGAACATAAGTACATGTTCGACACTTTGTGAATCTGCCAAAGTACTTTTCAAAATGATGCACCCTTTTACATTTACACTAAAAGTGTATAAAGTTCCAATTGCTCTGCATATTCACCAGTACTTGGTATTGTTATTTTTTTAATTTTAGCCACCCTTAATGTATCTGTAATGTTTTTCTTGTGGTTTTTATTTGCATTTCCCTACCAATTTATTGTGCTGAGTATCTTGTAATTTATTTGCCATCATCCACAGATCTCATTTGGTAAAGAGGCTGTTGAAATCTTTTATGCTTACTTAATTGGGTTATCTCTTAATTTTTGTTTTTAGGTGAAAGAGTTATTTATATATTCTGGATTCAAGTCCTTTGATGGTTGTCTTACAGTCTCTGGCTTACCTTTTCATTTTCTAGACACTCTGTTGAGGAACAAAATTTCCATCTTTAATGAAGTCTAATTTAACAGTCTTTTCTTTTATAATCTGTAATTTTTGGTTTCTACTTAAGAAATCTTTGCCTAACTCAAGATCCCATGTTTTCTTCAAGAAGTTTTATGGTTTAATGCTTTCATTTAGATCTGTGATCCAATTTAAGTTTTGCATACAACATTAGGTAAGAACTTTTCTTTGTATATGGTTATGAAATTGTCCCAGCATCATTTGTTGAAAAAACTATCCTTTCGACATTGAATTAATTGCTTCAACATCCTTTCTGAAAGTCAGTTGGCCATATGATTCTTGATGTATTTCTGTAATTCCTTGTCTGTTCTATTTATCTATATCTATCCTTACATCAGTACTACACAATCTTGATTACTATAGCTTTACAATTAGCCCGGAAATCAGATGCTAAGACTATAATTTTGTTTTTCTCTTTCCAAATACTTTTAGCCATGTAGGCCCTTTGTATTTGGAAGCTTCTTCAATCTTTCAGTTTAGCCACTTTGAAGATCATATGATTGTCCATGCTCTAGGCCATTCAAAAGAGAAATGATGAATAGCAAAAACTTCCTTCCCTCAGAGGTCTATCCTTTTGTGAGAAGCTTTCCTACATCTTACACATCAACAAATTTGCCCTCTGACCTGGAGGGCTACATGAACCGTGGCTCCTTTCCTCCCACTTCTGACTCATCAAATCTTAATCTGGTGGTCCTGTCAGCTATTAGTGAAGTTATGAACTATGGTATTTTTGTCTGGACTACGACATCTCCAAGAATGCAGACATTCTGTTAATAAATTAGGAATTAAAAACAAATACCTGGAACACAATATGAAGAATTGACTTCATTAGCTCTTAAAAATTTGTTGAAAGTTCCTTTGGAATCTAAGGTGATCAATATTTGGAAATGTGTTATATACAGTTTAAACTCTTTGTTGTCCTCTGGCTTCTCCCTGTATATACCTTTTTTTTTTTTTAATCAAAACCACTGTTTGAATCTACTGGTTCTACAGTAAATTATGTTGTATTTGATCCATCAGGTTCGTATATAGACATGTGTTAAATTTTCCAAATGATTGAGTTTTTGCCAATTCTTTCTCATTCTGGTTCTGTTGTTTTACTTTAAATACTTTGACACTCTTCATAGTCCTTATAACTTAAAAGGATTTGTTTCTTTATCGATAGAGTATCCTTCTTCATTCCTATTAATGCTTTTTGCATCCAGATCTCTTTTTCAGGGTGCTAATACTGTTACATTAACTTTTGTGTTTATTTTTTTACCCATTTTCATTAAACCATCCTATGCAGCTTTGTTTTATGCTTCTTATAGTGACACAGCTTTTTGTAATCTTCTCTGATAACCCTAGTATTTCAATAGTTAAGTTTTATTTGTTACTCTTACTATGATCCCTGATGTATATGAACGTATATATTCTTGTTAACCACACTTTCTCTGAGTTTCTGTGTCTCTTTCCTGCTTTCTGTTTGATTAAGAAAGAATTCTACATTCCATCCTTTTTTCTCTATTTGTGTTGAAATGGAAGATAAAATTTCTGTGATCGCTTTAACATACCCTAATCTCAAAAGATGTCAAGGATTTTACTGTGGATTACCTTAAATTAAATATCCCATCTCCATCATTAAGCTTTGCAGTTTAACATCTTGTTATTAGTTCTTTCATTACGAATTTTGAAACTGTTACCAATTTGCAGTCACTGTTTATATAAATGAATTTTTCATCATTTTATGCACTCATCCTTGTTTTCTTCTCCAGTTTAAACTTTGATCTACCTGAATAAAGTGTTGATTTTTTTAGTGAGGGTGTCTAAGTTGCAAATTTGCAAAGTGCAGTAGGTACAAATTGGCCTTTATTTTGAAACAATTTTTTATCAAGATTAAAAATTGTAGGTGAACATTTATTTTCCATTGTCTTCTACAATCTCCTGTGTAGCTAACATTCTCCTTGTATTATAACTCTCATTCTTTTTACTTAATAAGCTTTTTTTCTTGCCAAAATCTCTTTATCCAACTACTGAATTATGAAAATTTTTAAATTACTGAAAACTTGGGACATTTTATGTTAAACAGAGATTCATGATTAACATGCACTGTTCTTGCTCTATCGCATTTCTGTCCATCTGTCCATTTCCCTGTCCACCCACTAACCATCCTCAAGTCTGAAACATTTTAAAGTTGCAGACAAGAGTAGGCTTCCTTCAAACACTTCACATGGATATTATTAACTAGACTTCATTATTTGTATTTCTTCTCCTTTTCTTCTGAGATAAAATTTACAGTGAGATGTGCAAGTATTAACTATACCTTTCTTTCAGTTCTGACTAAATTATTCTCCTACAAAATCTAAATCTTTATAAAGAGACAGAATGTTACCATCACCCTAGAACTTAAGAAAATCTTCTCTGAGGAGAGGAGGGAGACTTTACTACCCTGGGATATTTCTAAGGTGGGGAATATTTTCTGTTTCATACTAGTCAGAGAACAAATTTGCCCTCTGACCTGGAGGGCTACATTAATCCTGGCTCCCAAAACTGTTTGCCGCTCACCCATCCTTGACAAGAGACTCTGGGCACGTGGCAAGCCTAGGACAATTGCCTCCCAACAAATTGGCCTCACACAGCGGGTCCTGGCAGTTTCCCCATGAGGACACCGGTCCACCAGCCACGATGATTAATGGGACCACCGGAGGTTAGGAACAAACTCGCTCAGTTGGTTTCCTTCGGTATTTAACAAATTTCCTAAATCAAAGTTGTTTTAAGTCTCCCATAATCACTCCTATGGTGCAAGTCACCATGTTTGCACGAGAGGCACGTGAAGGCCTGGCTTTCACGCAGGAGGTACAATCCCAAGGGCACGCAGGGCGACCCTGAAAGACAGGCACTTGCCGTTGCTGAGGTTCCTAAGGGGAACACAGCCGCCGGGGTAAGGTGGGCCCCTGGCCAGCTGGGATCCTTACAGCTCTCAGCTCTGTCAGTGCTGAAGGGGTTTGGAAGGAGGTGGGGACAGGAAGTCTCTCCAATCTGGCCTCTTTGTTCATAGTGTCCAGATGGCATTTGTCACCACTATGCCCCACCACTGAATGACTGAGAGTCAGTGTGGGGACATTGTCCAGAGTCACTCTGCATGGGGTGTCAGGTACTGGCACCAGCCCCTGTTTCCTCCTATCAGATGCTGAGTGGCCCTCAGCATCCATGTGGTGAAAGACCTGGACCAGGTGGTTGCCTTCTGGAAGGAGGACTCAGGGCAGCTCTGAGTGACAGATGTCATTAATGCCTCTCCACCTCCCATACCTCCTCGGTGTTTCCTCTTCAGGTGCCTGGATCTTTGCTCTTCCTTCACTGTCACGAAACCTGTGTGTGCCATTCCAGTGGCTGTAACTTCAGTTTCTTTACATAATCTCCTACTCGGACTTTTCATCCAGAAGATTCAGACATAAGCAGGGCAAAGGCTTTTTGAAAAACATATAACCATTATTAAATCTGAATTTTCTGGGCACTCTGATGACCGTACATTCAAGGAATTTTGGGGAAAGAACAAGGCATCATTCCCAGCAAGGGTCAGAACAGAATCCAGAATTTTCAGAACCGGTCTCTATAACGCCATGAATCCCCCTCCCCCTCAACTTTGGTCCTGATCTCAGTGCAGCAAGAAGCTGATCCCTCTCTGCCTTCAGTGGGGACAGCAGCCTTCCGTGCCCAAAGAGCCCTAACAGGGAAGTGTGTGGACAGGAGGAGATGCCACAAAGTTAGATGGTCAGGGCATTGAGTGTAGCTTCTGATATTCTGATAATATTGTCAGACAGCAAATGGTCCAGCGAGCCATGCAATTTGCAGATTGTTCTAGAGCTTCCTGAGCTTTGGAGGAAGCTGCTGTGGGGGAGGAATGAGGCAAAGCAGCGAACACAAGCAGCAGACACCGTGTCCATCAGGTCGGCCCATCGCTGTCCTCTCTGCCCCTGCGTCAGAGCTCACACAGGAAGAGGCCTGCACAGGCTGGACTTTGTCTGCAGCGACCTGAGAGCAGGGAAATAGCCCCGCTGCAGAGCCCCCTCCTACCAGGGCAGCAGCTGTGTGTGCCACTGTCACCTGAGAATCCGGGGGTGACCACATGGGGAGGGGGCTGAGACAGTCGTGTGGACGCCTGATGTCTCTGCTACAGCGTTCTGACTGGGGGGGTTTCAGAGGTGAAATCAGGGTAGGCATTCTGTGGTTATGTATCTAAAATGCCACTGAAAGCAAGACTCTGAAACTGCAGATTTGTGGAATAAAGTTCCCTAAGTACCCCCATGACTTTAGGGAAATGACCTCAACACAAGAGAAAGTTGTATGTGTGCCGTTGTGAAATGAGACAGAATGAAAAATCTTCTCTTTCAGAGTCAGGAAAGCACAAAGAAGATAATGTGAATATGGAGGCTGAAATACTTCCTGTGACCTGTGGGGAGCTGGAGGGGAGCTTAATTAAGAGAAAATTGGAACGAGGTAGGTTTCAAGGTTTACTTTAATTTGTAATACTTATGTAGAGGAATCACATGAAGTAGTGGAATTATCCATGTGAATTTCCCATCGTTCAAGGAGTTGAGGCCCCACTGTGTCTTGAAAGAAGAAGGAAAGGCAATCTAAGATGATATGTTTACACTTTAAACAATGGCGCATATTAAGTGCTCACTCCCACATGCAAGTGCCCATGAGGAAGCCCAAGGAATCAAAGAGAAGTGCAGGATCGTCCGTCTCTGGGTGGAAAATGCTGCACTTTTTACTTTGAACCAGATACAACAGGGAAGAGGCCCTCCGCCTGCAAGCTCGCCTCCTGTGTCCCCTCTGGATAATCACCGCCAGGACAGGGTGTCAGGTGTGGTCGGGAGATCACAGGGTTTAGAGTCAGAAACCCTGAGTCCCAGCCTCAGCCCTGCCCAGAGCGGCAGTGTGAAGGCTGGGACTTTCCCGAGCCTGAAAGTTCTCATCTGAGAAACGGGTGACAGGTACAAACATGCCTCCTGGTATGACTCAGAGTTACTTCATATAATGAATACAAAGTGTTTTGTGGTTTTAACATTATAAAGCTTTTTAATTATTATGTATATGATGAACTTTATATCAGATTTTTAATACGCCTATGAGAACATCCATATAAATAAATGTTTGCATCATAACTTTTATCAACAGCTTCACTGAAATATAACTCATGTATATACAATTCATATCTAGAGCATAGAATTCACTGTTTTCGTTTGTTTGTTCTGTTCATTCACAAGATTCTAAAACCATTGTCACCATCTAATGTTAGCACATCCTGTCCCCCGCTGAGGCAGAGCCCACGTCTGGTCTCTCCGCGGTCGATGCCCGTTCCCACCCCAGCCATCGCCCGCCCTGAGCAACCACCATGCTACTTTCTGATCTTTACATTGGCCTCTTCAACCATTTCACATCAATCGACTCCCGTAACATCTGCCTTTCTGTGACTGGTTCTTTCACTCAGCATGAAGTTTTCAAGGTTACATATTATACCTCATTCTTTTTTATTGCCACTTACTGTACTAGTTCTTGGTATGGATATGCAATATAGCATTTATCTATGAGTTTGATTTTCTCATTTTTTAGCTCTCATGAATAAGGCTATTTCGTGTAAAGTTTTTTTAATGAACATAGTTTTATAATTCTTTTGGTATATACTCTAGAGTGGAATTGCAGGATTATATGGTAATTCTATGTTTAACTTACAGAAGAAAAACCAAACTATTTTCCACGGTATTGCACCAGTTTATGTTCCCGCTGGCGTAAGCTGAGGGCTTCAATTTCTCTGCATTCTCACCAACACTGAGATTGTTTCTTTTATTATGACCGTCCTAGGGGTGTCGTGTAGTTTTGATTTCTTTTTCTCTAATGAATAATGTTGTTAAGTAATTGACTATCTTCTGTATATAAGTCCAATTTTCCACTTATTAATATTTCACAATTATCTTAACATCAGCCACCCATGATTTCAAGGATGGAAAAATATCGGCTCAATAGTGCCATTAAACTCAAAGAAAATTGCTTCGAGCCATTGTGAGTGGCAGAGCCCCCACATGAGACTTTATCCAAAGCAGGAAGTTTTTTAGAGGAGACTTGCAGGCTGGGTTGTGGGGCTCTGAAGCATACAAGGGGAGGCCAAACTCTCCGGCTGTTGATCAGGAACCCAGATTGGGTGGCAGCAGATCCAAAGTGGTGGGAGGCCACATCTGAGCTCTGAGGACAAGGAGGTGTCAGGACGAGCTTACCCCTGTCTTATAGGAGTCACAAGGAAGTGCATAAGAAGTAAAGATGGAAACTGGTTCACCCTCAGGGAATTTGAAGTCAGAGGAGGCTATGAAAAATCAAGTAACTGGAAGATCAGCCTGACCTGCGGTGGAAAAACCCTAAAACGGCTGATAGAGGTATTTCAGTGATGGGGCAGGAGGTGTGACTTTCCTTGCTGTGGTTGACAACGAGGTTACTCTTTGCTCACCCAGTATAGGCTGAGTTGTGGCTGGAGCCCTGAGACCCCTGACTCTAACCTTTTCCTGCTAAGAGGTGCCCCAGGCTCCTACCTCAGTACAAGGGAGCCCATCAATTTCTCAAAGGGGCTCTGTCGGGTGGATACAGGGCCTTGGGAAAAGGGAAAGGTCCTTCTGACTCAGGTACGCAGGCAACTTTAGGATCTGAAAAAAAGAAGACCATCTACAGTCAAACAAGAGGGCAGAAGGCACTCATGAAAAATGGTGTAAAAACCAGAACCATGATAAACGTCACTCCGTAGGTTGAGGTAGACGGACTGCCTGTGACACAGCATAATCCATCGATTGGGGTTGTTTGCAGAGGGATTTAAGGTGAAAGTAAGGAGTTTAAACTCATAACATAGACAGTGCAGAACCAGGGAGTCTCCTGGGGTGTGAAATGACATATTAAAACAGTATCTCACACCACATGGGGCCCTGAAATGACTTCACTGTCTTTCAGCCCAAGAAACGTGTAGTCAACCTGCAAGGCTCAGCTCCCCTGTCCCTCCTACCTGAATGTTCCCTGACTCACCTGGCTGGTCACCCCTTCCCTAGGCCCCCTGAACTCACTAGTAAGGCCCTTCTCACCCTGTTTAATCCTACCCTTCCATGCATTCACTTTGTCTCTCTAGACCCCTCTAGGGTTTGTCCTTCTTTGTGTGCCCAGCATTGTCCAGAGTGCCTGACCCTATGTAGGTGTGGGACCCGTGTGTGTCGGTGGAATAGCCCTGGTGTGAGGAGGCAGGTGTGCGTGGCACTGGTGGAATGGGGAGGGGGTGAGAGGTGCCAGACATTCTGAAGGAAAACCTCTCAAAAGTTAGGAAAAAGCACAGAGCAAGGAAAACTGTTCTGAAGATGATTTTCTAGGTACCCTTGAGGAATTCTCGAATAAGTTCAGGTGAGGAGAGGGAGATGGTTTCTCAGTGAGCTGGCAGTGTGATGTCCAAGAAGAAATATTTACAAGGAGGTCGCAATACCATACTCACAGTGCATAAATACAGGCTACCCATTTACTCAGATATTTTTATCTTTCAGGATGGAAAATTACCTATACCTCCAACAACATGTGGCAGGAACAAAAAGGTGAGTATTACTTTATATAGGTTCGTATTACATAACTGATTTTATATATACTGCATTTTTTTATGGTTTCTCTATCATGGTATTATCATTAAGTTTCCTCTTCTCCTCTCCTGTGCCTTTATTTTATTTTATTTTATTTTATTTTATTTTATTTTATTCACTTATTTTGCATGCCTTCAGGGTTGCTCCACTGAATATTAGGTTGCATGTAAGGTTATCTATGAATTGTAAACCATCTGAGACGGGGATGGTAAGGAGCCACCAAAAAAGACCTCATAGCTGAGTTTGAGCTATAGATGCAGATATTGTATGGATATCCAAGGTGTAAAAGCGAGCATGATTATGGGATACATAAAAGCATTTCTTAATAAGCTCCCATGGTCATGTTCAACTCAATCTCTGGTTTGTTTGGGTTGGTTTGTTTTTTTTTTTTTTATAAAGGTTACTATTTCCTAACTTCGATGAAATCTGATGAAGCAAAAGTTTGCTCCCCATCATCTGGATGAACCCGTCTAGTAGACAGTCTATCTTGGGACATATATGAAACCATATATTACTTCATGAGATATGAAACTAAGAGCATATTTCTTTTCTGATTTTTTTACATCCTCTTCTGTCCTTCAATAAAATATACACAGAGACATACAGAATTCTTTCTCAAGCAGAAATTACTGGCAAAATTTTCATGAGGATGGTACTGTTGGGGAGGGAGCTCTTGGGAGACGGATGTAGCCTACGTGTGGTGCTGACCTGGAAAATGGTTTACTTTGATGGCCCCCCATTCCCTCCACCTCAGGGCTGTGCAGGCCTCCTTTCCATCTGTGAAAGTGGTTTCTCCCTCTGTGGAGGAAGGCGGTGGGGGCAACAAACAAATATGTGCCGTGTAGATTGAGGCCAAAACGGTAGTGTTTTCAAGACTGGGTCTGAATGAGAACTTGAGAAGGAGGGGGAGGTCGGAGGGGCCGTTCTCACACACTTCAGGTAGAAATGGCCGCCCAGGACTTTCACAGAATTCTGCGTTAGGTGCACAGAGCTGGCCACCGGGACTTCATCTGACACTGGGAGTGTGAGGTCCAGGCCTTTACATTATCTGATGTTCTGGGTTTTATAAACAACCAGACACTGGGACATTTCACCCACTAGGTTTAGTGAAGAGAAATTACTGTTGGACTTACTCAGGGATTACTTTAAAAAGCTGTGTTTACTATTCTCCATGTGTCTAGAGTTACTTTGTCTGGGTTACCTGAAAGAACTACCAACTTCCAAACCACATGTTCTATCCTTATCTGTGGGTGCAACACTTTCCAGTGACAAGGTTCCATTTCCCATATATTTTGTGTTCTTTTTAATTGAGAACCAAAATGACCCAAAGTGGCAGAGCTCAGGACCCATTACTACCTTGGTGGGTCCTCTGTACCTCACAGAACTTCTCTTGTTGATGGAGCCCCTGGTTCCTGGAAACTTGAGTCTCACCCTTGGCACCACACAACAACTTCCTGTCTCCTGATGACAGCCACTATGCTTCCTGGTGACAGCTGCTGTCATATAATATGAAATACTCAGATGGAACACTTTTTTTTTTGTATACTAATATTTGCTAAAAAGGTAGCAAGTAATCTCTTTTCCTAAGTGAAATACTCATTTATTTACTCATTAAACATATAGTTATTGAGCGCATAAGACATGCTCAACGCCCATAAAGAAGGCTGAAGTACTATCCCTGAACTCAAAGATTGTTTCAACTTCATTGTCTACATGGAAGTATTATTGGGAGCAGGGGATTCTAGGGTACCCGAGAGGCAGACAGTGACATGACCATTTCTCAGGTCATTTTCCAGGGAATCACACTTGTCCATGACCTCTGTGCCCTGGGTGGAGATAAATCTGAGGCTGCCTGAAGAGAAAGAGGCCAAGTCATTCTACTGAACATTCACAAGCAATGCAAGTGCAGTGCACAGTGGTCAGTTCCTTCTGAAAAGTCAGCCCAGTGCCATCTTGGGATTTGGATGAATGGAGAGGGCAGTGACCTTCTGAAAGAAGAATTGGGGTATGGAGGACCTTGGGTTCATTTTATCATTAGGGCAGTGCCCCAGAAGAGCTGCAGGAGGTGGTGGAGTTCTCTGGGACATTTGCACGGTTCCTATACAACAGATGGCGACCCAGAGGGTTGTGTCATATGACCAGTAGCCAAGAGTCCATGGAGGGGAGGAGGCAACTGATCCACCAAGAGTGCCCTCAGTCCTGTTAATAATAATCATTCCTAGGGTAGATATTACAGGCATATCAACGTCTCATAATATCCTCATGTATTACTAACCACACTGGCTCAGGCCATTGGCCCGGGAGCAGATGCTGGGTTAGCACAGGGATGTGCACAAAGGCAGGAGATAGGCTGGACATCTAGGAGCTGGGGACATAGCAATGGAAGTGCAGCTTTGACAGTGCATTTGACCGTCTGGGCCCGACCAAATGGCCAAATGTAGAAACCTCAGGGATTCTGTCTAAGTGTTGGAGGAGGAGAAGGAGAAGGGGAGGAGATACGGCAGTGAGGCTGAGGGAGTAACCCCAGGGGAGACATGGCACAGACCACACGGGTTTGGAAAAAGCAGAAGGGGTCACAACAGAGGAAGGTGGATGCTGTCACCCCTGCCTCCTCCTGCTCCTCATGGCTCACTTCCCTCCCACCCAGCACCCATCAATGGGTGGGCCAGTCCCCATGCTAATCTCATTTGTGTCACTTCAGACGGTCACAGGAGGGGAGGAATTTCTCCGGCAGACCATGGGATAGACAGGATGTTTCCATCTGGGAGAGATCAGTCCCCAAGCAGTTCTCAAGCCATCTCAATTCTCTAACAAGGCAGAACCAGGGGAGCAACCAAGGGGAGATATAGGTCCTAAAATTCCCTCATTCATATGTAGTTGCTGATTTTCATTTTTTTAAAAAGTGGTTTTCTGTTTTAGTCACCTTTTCTAAATCCTATCGATAAGGGAGTGTTGTCCACTGGACAGTTTGGGGGATGGCAAGTTATGGCATCTGTCACTCAACAGATGGCTTGACAAGTGTTTATTAGTCACATACAACCCAAACTGAAAAAGGAGGGCAGAGCCCTGCCATGAAAGCCTCACCAAGGTAGCCCTCAGGAACCAACCAGGGGCTGGAAGGGTAGGTGTGAGTCCCTGGTTTCCTTGGGAGTTTGTGTCTGGCTTGTGTGCAAGACTCCATGGCTGACAGGGAACTGAAACCTGATGTTCCAGGATGGGCAGGGTTAGTGGTGGTCCTTTAACAAGGAGCTTTGTTTAGCTGTGGGACCTTAACCAGGGGAGCAGACTGGGGAGAGGAATGTCCGAGACCACCTCAATGTTATCAAATGTCACAACAGCACCTGACACTGAGCTTTCATATAAGTCCTTACACCACGTTTTCTTCATTAACAAAGGGCTCAGTCACAGGCCAGGTTTTTGTCATAAATTTATGTATTTGTATATTATACAGCATATCTTCATATCTGCTCTACAAACTTATTTGGGTTTAATGAGTAGGAATTTCACTATAAGAACTAACTGAAAATACTGTCAAATTTTATCTTCTCCAAATAAAATTAAATGTAATTAAAAGCTACATATTGAGACTGGTAATGATCCAGTTTCCGTTGATTGGGTTGGTGGGAGGGGCAGAGACCTTCCCATGCAACACAGCAAGTGCCGCACTCCTTGGCCACATGGAGGTGTAGGCTCCACACCTCGCAGGCGCAGCTGAGTCATGGGGCGCCTTCCTCAGGCTCCCAGAGCCAAAGAGCTCCATCCTCCCGGGCACCACCTGGCCGTCTGTGTCATGGTCTTTCCAACCTAAAAGCACTGTCACCATCCCAGGGGCCCTCCAGGCCCAGAATCCACAGTCCAGGATCCCTTATTATGTCCTTCAACTCATTGGGAACCTTCAGCCAAGAAAATACAATCAATGTTTTCTTAGAAGTTTGTTTCATCTTATTAATTTCCCAACACACCACATTTCCATGAGTCAAGTTAGTCTTTGTGGTGTAGACAAATGGACTTAACGCTTTTTTCAAACTTGTTCTATCTGCAAGGTAATAAGATGATTCAGATTCCCATGAAATCATCCTCTTGTTTTGCTGCCTGTCTTTCTGTGTTAGGATCTCTGGTTCTATAGGAAAAACTTCTCTGGTCTGGTCACACAGGCCAGTCCTCCTGAACTTCTCTGCAGACCAGGGATCCTTCCTCTGCAACCTGCACCCCAAGCTGCCCCTTCACAGCTCAGGGGAAACACACACGAGCCCCTGCAGGTCGCCAAAGGCCGAGGGTCCCAGATTCCCACCGCGCTGGTCAGCAGGGGCCCGTGGGGATGTGGACATTGTTTACCTTCCAGGGAGGAAACCCAAACAAATGCAAGATCTGCCAGGATGGAGGGAAGCTCTTCTGCTGTGAAAAATGTTGGGACTTCTTTCATGAGAACTGTCACCTCCCACCGGTGGACACTAAGAGGTTTGTGAGAGGCAGCCCCATCTGCTTTAGGTCCCCTCCCCCTGCCAGGCTCACTCCCCCTGTGGGGTTCCTCCTTGTGACCTGATGGGGACAGAGCGGGGCCGGAGGGTCAGCAGGATGGTCCCGGGAGCTGCTGAGTGACACAGGCAGCAGGAAGGGAATGTCCTCATCTCTCCTCAGGAGACCGAGGCCTGTGGCTGGGTCCTTGGCCTTCATATTGCTGCCGTCCTTTCCAGAACTTTCCCAGCACAGACTCCTGTTCACAGAAATGGAAATGCCAGCCTTTTGTGTTCTATGCTTATTCAGAAAAAGCAGGAAACATGGATAGGTTCCCTCATTTTAACATACTCTCAGAAAGCTAATAAAGGCCAGAAGTCCTCATGGTTTAAGATCCAGTCTCCGGCACTCAGGCCTGGTGGGCAGGGCTCCTTGGGCTCCCAACAGCCCAGACAGGGAGAGGAGAGCCCACCTCCCACCCTGACACCACCCTCCACCCACACCCTCTGTGGCTACCCTCTGTGGGAGGAAAGTCATCACATGAGAAACTTGGAGACCCTGGGAGGTGTCCCCTTCGTCCCCAGGCTGTGCCATCAGCCATTCCTGAAAGGAGGACAGTGGCAGTTATAGTGACAGTGGCTGTTTCTGGGCTTTTCCCTGCTCACTCGTATCTGACCTCTCAGGAGCAGTTGGATATGTACCTTCTGCACAATAGAAAATTCTTCAAGAAGTCAGCAGCGTTACAAGGAATCTGAGGTCCAGGAGAGGGAGATGGGTCCTGAGGAGAAGTTGGTGAGTTGGATTCAAACCCCAAGTCTTTTCCTTTCTGCTCACATGTGAGAAGTCAGTCAGTCACAAGGCAAGGGGGAAGGTGCCACACAGTGCCTGTTCCTCGGACCACACCTCAGCCACGCTGAAAACTCACCAGAACCTGTTCACAGTGAAATGAAAACTCAGTCGTTACATGTTAGTGCCCTAGCGCACTATCAGTTTGGGGAAAGTTCCAGAAGACTGGTATGGGCAAGGGTGTGTCTGGGCATGACTCTGGGCTCATTCTCTCCAAGCTGTTTTTCATACACAGCCTCTTTCTTTTGCAGAAATGTGAGTTCCTCCTCCTAAACATCTATGACCCTTTAGAGAGTGACGTTTTCCTGAAAATCCCACATGAAAATTATGTGAGTAACAACAGTAAAGCATGCTGACAGTCCTCCATGATGCTACCTGACCTTGACATGGGCTCTTCTGGGATTTGTGGTCTGGAGCCCCCGGGAGGGAGAGCACGGGCTGCCTTTATCTGCACCTTGGATTTCTGCTGGTTTGATGGGAATCCGCAGAAGGCAGCCATTGCACTGTGTCAGCAACTCTCCTATTGATTCCTATTGATATATTTTTCACAAGGTTGAAAAGGCTTCTCAATGCCTAGAGAGACTTAGGATGTTGGACAAAATCAAGAAGCGTCTGAATGAGGGAGGCTACACCAAGGTGAAAGGTTTTGTGCAGGACACGGACCTCTTCTTTCAGGACCCCAAGGTAAGTGGGTCTCCCTGCTTCCATTTCATTTTCTTTCTCTGAGTCACTCTGCCCTCATTTCCGGGTGCTGGGAAATGTTAGTTTCCCTCATCTTTTATGATGTGCCTGTACAAGCAAGGGTTCAAGAAGTGAGTGACTTTTAAAATTCAGAATTTAAGCTCCCCAGATTGAGTAACGAGTCAGGAGCTGTCCCTGCAGCCCAACTTAGAAACCTGAGAGCTCGTTCTTCTCCTCAAAGGTGACAGGTGCCCACTGAAAACAGTCGCATCTTCTGGGCTCCAACCCAGGAGAAGAGTGCATCCTAAAGTTGTGTCGTTCTTGTCTCTCCCCAAATACACTTAGTCAGACCTCTCAGAAATCCCAAACTACAGAGAATGGGCCATATAGGTAACAGGGGTCACCCAAGGGGAATAGAAGTGACAACGTAAAAGGAACGTCCCTAGTGGTACTTAGACATCTGTGATATTTGATTTCTACTAAGATCTTAGCTTACTTTTCTAATTCTCAGTAAAAGAAACAAGCCAAACCTAAAGAGTAAGAGTCCTCAGGTGTAGTAGTCCTTTCCCATTTCTGTCTAGTCAACAAAAAGTAATCACGCTCTTAAAAAACAAAAGTTACTCTTAGCCGCCTGTGTTTTTAAACTTAAACTGATTAATGTAACGTGGGTGTTTAAGACAACAATCATGATCATTTCAATGGCATGGCATCTAATGACAGTGATAATGAGTATCGTTATCTTTGTTTCTTTCTTTTTCAGTTCCACAACTCAGAACTAATAAAGGAAGGATTTGATAAGAATTTCAAAGCAGTCTTTGCTATTCAAGAAACAAATTAGAACAGGTCACCGGTGTAGTGGATGCTGTTGGTACCCTGAAAAGTCCCACTTTCAGGCAGATTTCTTATCCCCCTCCTGCTGTGAGGGTTTGCTGCCGGTGCCACCTCTCTCAAATGTATTGCTTTGGGCCAAATGGAGCCAGAGTCACCTGAACATTACATCTTTTTAGCCTGGGTTTGGAATTCCAGCCCCAACACTGAACCAACCATGTGCCGCAATTCATGTTCCCGTGCTCCCCAGGGAATCAGGCTAGCGCTATTGTCCAGCTATGAGCACATCCTTGCTTGGCTTTCCCCTCCATGGTACCTTGCTTCCCTTACCCTCCTCCTCCTCAGAGAATTCTCACAATAAATCACTTACTTAAGAGGCTTTATCTCAGGCTTTATTTTTAGGGAATCCAGCACATAATTGTCATAGCAAGCCAGCCCTAAGCATAGAGTTCTGAGTTGGATCATTGTCTAGCCAGATGATCACGAGCAAAATATTGACAGTACCTGGGATGCTAATAAAGTACAGTTGCAAAAACATTCACCTGAATGAGATATAGGGGAAGGGGTATACCACCTGATACAATTGTCTAGCATTCACAAAGGAGAAAATAGTAAGGATAAAAACTGTGTATTTAGGTGGCTATATCTAAGCTCACTAATGTGTTAAAAAGTACATGACAGTCATAAGTATGTTAATTACCAACTGCACGTGGAAGGCAACAGTAAGGAAGGCCTGGTACAGCCCCCAATTTTAAGAACAGCAGAAATTCAGAGAAGGCTGGATCTAAGCTCAGAGTGGCCTCTTGAGTCTAAGACAAGACCCTGATAAAGAACTAACCTTCTCACCAGGGGTGTCCAGCCTGTGGCCCACAGGCCGCATGCAGCCCAGGATGGCTGTGAGTACAGCCCAACACAAAATTGTAAATTTACTTAAAATATTATGAGATTTTTTTTGTGATAAGAAAAAAAGAAAGAAAGAAAGAAGCCCTGAAATTCTGGTCACTATCATTTTTTTTCTTTATTTCCATGTCTCTGGTTCTATTTTACTCATTTGTTTGTTTTGTTCATTAATTTCCACTTACAGGTGAGATCATATGGTATTTGTTTTTTGCCACCTGGCTTATTTTACTTAGCATAATACTCTACAGTTCCTTCCATGTGTCATGAAGCGTGGGAGTTCCTCCTTTCTCTCGGCTGCATATTATTCCATTGTGTAAATGTACTAGCTTTTTGATCCACTCATTTACTGATAGGCACTTAGGCTGTTTCCAGCACTTGGCTATTGTAAATAATGCTGCTATGAACATAGGGATGCATAAGTTCTTTTGACTTACTGTTTCAGGTTCTTAGGCTATAATCCCAGCAGTATGATCACCGGATCAAAAGGCAATTCTATTTTTAGTTTTTTGAGGAAATTTCATACTGTTTTCCACAGTGGTCGCACCAGTCTGCATTCCCGCCAACAGTGCACTAGGGTTCTCTTTTCTCCACATCCTCACCAGCACTTGTTGTTTGTTGATTTGTCTATGTTGGCTATTCCGACTGGTGTAAAATGGTGTCTCATTGTGGTTTTAATTTTCATCTCTCTGATGGCTAGTGATGCTGAGCATCCTTTCATGTATATCTGGGCTCTCTGTATGTCCTCCTTGGAGAAGTGTCTGTTCAGCTCCTTTGCCCATTTTTTAATTGGGTTTTTTCTTTCCCTGGTGTTGAGTTGTGGGAATTCTTTATATATTTTGGAGATCAAACCCTTGTCAGAGGTATCATTGGCAAATATGTTTTCCCATACTGTTGGTTCCATTTTCACTTTGCTGATGTTTTCTTTAGCCATGCAGAAGCTTTTTAATTTGATGTACTCCTATTTGTTTATTCTTTCCTTTATATCTCTTGCCCTAGGAGATATTTCAGCAAAATATTGCAGCATGGAATATCTGAAACTTTACTGCCTATGTTTTCCTCTAGGACCTTTATGGTGTCATGACTTATATTTAAATCTTGTCCATCTTGAGTTTATTCTAGTATATGGGGTAAGTTGGTGGTCTAGTTTCATTTTTTTTGCATGTAGCTGTCTAGATCTCCCAACACCATATACTGAAGAGGCTATTTTCACTCCATTTTATGCTCCTTCCCCCTATTTCAAATATTAGTTGACCATAGAGACATGGGTTTACTTCTGGACTCTCTATTCTGTTCCGTTGATCTCATTAAGCATCCTTATAACCAATGTTTTGAACTCTGCATCTGATAGATTGCTTATCTCCATTTTGTTTAGTTCTTTTTATGGACTTTCGATCTGTTCTTCCATTTGGTCCATGTTTCCTTGTCTTTTCATTTTGGCAGTCTCCCTGTGTTTGTTTCTATGTATTAGGTAGAGCTGATTTGACTTGTGTCTTGGTAGTGTGGCCTAATGTAGTAGGTGTCCTGTAGGGTCTGGTGGCACAGCCTCCCCTATCACCCAAGCTGGGTACTTGAGGTACACCCTCTGTGTGGGCTGAGTATACCTTCCTCTTGTAGTTGAGACTTGATAGCTGCTGGCATGTTAATGGGAGGGATTTACCTAGGCCAGTCAGTTGCAAGGTCTGACTTGACCACTGATCACCAGCTTCCCCCCTCTGTAGAGTATCAGCTATGCATGGACAGGGTGGTGGTGCTCCAACATCACCTGTAGCTGTCCACTAGGTGCGCAGTCTCTGGGGTTTCCCAGGTGGTGCCAGCCAAATTCAGCCCCCTCCCAGATTTTGCCCAGGGCCACCCTGGCTTAGCTATAAAGCAATCTGAAATGGCTGCTACTTGTGCTGGGCTTGGAGATTCCCAGGTGAAGACAAGTGGTGAATCTGGGCTGGCTGCTGCTAGTGCCAGGCCTGGAGCCCCTTAACAAGAGTATGGGGGATGAGGATGACTGGTGTCTTTCAAGCTGCTCCCCCAGCGCTAGAGCTCAGATGGAGAGAGACTGAGTAAGTTCGTGTGTGGTTTCCTTAAGAGGAACTGCTTGGGGCTGCAGAAGTGTCTTCCACCAACTCAATTCTGGTTTTTGCAACCAGAAGTTATGGGGACATATCTTCCTGGCACTAGAACCCTGGGCTGGGTGGCCAGGTATGGTATGGGTTTGGGACTCCTCGCTCCCAAGATATTGCTTCCAAATTTTTACCCACCACGTGAGGATATGGCACCAGCCCATTCCATGTCTCTACCCCTCCTACCAGTCCAGATGGATATGGTTTCTTTAATTCTGTAGTTTTCACAAATCCATTTAACTCCATTTCTGACAGTTCTGAATGTTGGTTGTTCTGTATTTTAGTTGTAATTTTGATGTGGTTGTGTGAGGAGGTGCGCCATGTCTGCCTGCACCACCATCTTGACCAGAAGACTACATTTTCTTTATGCAATCAAATTTAAGTTATCAGTTTAAAATAAAAATTATAATGGTAAGATATTTTAGGTAAGCATCATGCTATCCACAAAAGAAAAACTTGTGATACAAACACAAAAGGGTATGATGAAGGAGGCAAAGCAATCTGGCACAAATTATGAAATCACAAAGGATGGCAGTGAAGGGGCCAAACTTTAACACTAGGTCAAGCCTGGGCCGAAACAAGAAACTAGAACAAACAATACCCCAAGATGAAGGGAAGAATTAGAGCCCCCCCTTAGTAACAAGATAGGACAACGGCTGAGCCTTGACTCAGACAAATAGCCCATAAAAGCAGGGTCAGAGCTGAGGATAAGGGAGAAACAAATATCAAGAAAAACATATCAGGGTGCAGCCCCCATGCAGCTGGGCCAGAGTCGACAAGAATGAGGAGGAGGCATAGGGCGAGGGTTGAGCCTTGCCTCAGATACACATCCTGACCAGAGAAAGAGTAGGGGGCCCAGTAACAGCCTTGAACCTAATCAGCAAAAAAAAAAAGAAGAAAAGAAAGAAGCTGCCTATTGCTAACTGCCACTTCTCGCCCTTGTATCTTGCTTGCTTGCTCTGCTTATAAAAACCCGTGTACCCTTACAGCGGTGCGCCTTTTTCCTTTCGAGGGAAAGGTGGCCCCTGCGCAGGTAAAACTTGGCCAAATAATAAAGAGTGTGTGATCAAACTCTAATTTCTGAGCTCATACTTGTGGGGATCGTAACAGCAGTAAGGAAGAAAGTGAGGAACAAAACATGTACAAAACAGTAAGAAAAGAATTAATAATGGTGGATATAATAATAGTGACAGGGGGGATAATATTTATACCCCCTGTCAACAATGGCTAGATCACTTAGACAGAGAATTAATAAGAAAGTAGCAGATATGAACAACACTATCGCCCAAATGAACCTAACAGACATATACAGGAGATTTCACTTAACAATAACAGAATACAAATTTTTCTCAAGCACTCACAAACATTTTTCTGGGATAAATTACATGTTAGGTAACAAACAAGCGTCAACACATCCAAAAAGATAAAAATTATATAGTGTCTTTTCCAACCACAATGTTATAAAACTAGAAATCATTAACAAGAAGAAAGCTGAAAAATTCACAAATACATTGAAATGCAATCCCTATCACGAGTCCAATGGACATTTTTACTGAAATAAATAAATAAATAAATCCTAAAATTCCTATGAAAACACAAAGGATCCTGATAGTCAAAAGAATCCTTAGAATGACAAGCAATTATGCTGGGTGAAATAAGTCAGTTGGTAAAAGACAAATACCATGTGGTCTCACCTATAAGTGGAATCTATTCAACAAAATAAACGAAAGACCAAAATAAACCACAGGCATGGAAACATGGAGCAGACTGAAAGTGACCAGAGGGGATGGGGGAAGAGGACAATGGTGGAAAGAAGGGGAAGGGACTAGACAAAGAACAGGTGTGAATGACCCACAGACATGGACAACAGAGTGGGAACTGACTGTGGGAGCGGGGGGGTAGGGGTGGGATGGGTGGATTGGGGTAAAGGGGGAAAAACTGAGACAACTGTAATAGAATAAACATGATTTTTTAAAAAAAGAAAAAGAAAACCAAGCAACATGTAGTCATCACATTTCCCAATTCTAACTACGTTACAAATCTTTAGTAATCAAAATGGTATAGTACTGGTATAAAAACAATGCACAGACAAATGCGAAAGAATCAAGAGTCCAGAACTAAATCCATTTATATGGAGTTAACTAGTATTTGACAAGGGAGCCAGAATACTCAGTGGAGAAAGAACAATCTGTTCAATAAATGATGTTGGGAAAAGTAGATAGTCATATGAAAAAAGAACGAAACTGGACCGTATCTTA